CGGATGCAGCGTGGACGTTTTGGGGCTCTCTTTGGGGCCTTCTTCGGGAATTCCGGGTGGCTTGGCGCATGTTGCACATGTTTTTGAACGTGGCGGTGTAGACCAACATCCAGGAGGAAAGAAACACACAGACACAATTAATCCTCGATTTCCCAGAAAATATAGGAAAATATGGGAAGTGGGGGGGAAGACAGAAACCCAGAAAATATGGGAAAATATGGGGGATCTTTTTATTTGTGTGCATTCATTTGTGTGTTCTGGGGCCCCTTCAGGAACAGCGGATTTTTCTGCTCGTCGTCACGGCAGCGGGGTGGCCTCCAGTCGAGATCCTGGAACGCCGGCGGCCGACTGGCTCTCCGACGCCCGCGGCAGAGCAACGTCGCACTGGTCACGGATCTGACCATGCTTCCCTTTCGTCCTTCTCCGCCTCCTCGGCACCCTTGTCCCCGCAGTCCTCATCATCTTGATCCTGGCTGCTTCCTCCTGTTTTCCTCCTGCTACGACATGGTGTGCACGATCGCGATCATGGCGGTGGTGTTTTTGACTTCGCGAGGGTGCTGCTCAAGAGGACGGTATTTGTGGCGACGCGCTTGCTTGCGATTGCAATCATGCTGATCATCGCTGCGGCGGCGGCGATGTGATGGTGATTCGGAGGGGTAGGTGAAGTCGATCAGGGATCATTGACGCTGTTGCGAGTGTGCACGCGAGTCAGCGGTGGTGGGGGGAAGATGCTTTCGACGGTATCCGAGGTGAATTAAGGTCATCAGCAGATGCCCCAACGAGGCTTGCCAGGAGAGTTCGTACAGCGGGGGCCCACGCCAAGAAGCACCCTGCTTGCCTCCAGGGTGCCCTGGGTTTCTTTTGGGTTTCGATGATTTTGCCATCGAGAGAGCGCGACGTCCCCGCACCAAAAATCAATGGACGTCCTGGGGTCTCAGGGTTGGGTTTCTTGTGGAAGGTTTCTAGTGGACTGGCCTCCACTCTATCCGAGGTGAATTTGGGCCAGCAGCAGATGCCCTCACGAGGCTCGCCAGGAGGCTTCGTGCTGCTTGCCTATCGGTGTCCGCTCGCGGCCTCCTCCTCCCCGCTCTCCTCCGCCTCCGCTTCCGCCTCCTCTTCCGCCGCCGCCTCCGCTCTCCTCCGCCTCCTCCTCCTCCTCCTCCTCCTCCTCCTCCCTCCTCCTCCACCTCCTCCACCTCCTCCTCCTCATCCTCTCCTTCTCCTCCTCCTCCTCCTCCTCCTCTCTCCTCCTCCTCCTCCTCCTCCTCCTCTCCCCCCGTCCTTCCCCCTCCCCCTCCTCGCGCAAGCCGTCGCGAGGCACTCGCACGCCCTGTGGTCGCAGGACAATCGCCGCCTCCTCCTCCTCCTCCTCCTCCTCCTCCTCCTCCGAAAACAGCAGCAGCAAAACACCGACAGCACCGACTCAGCTCCGACCACCGATACCAACCAACGACCATCAGCGCCACCAGCACCAAACGCCACCGACCACCACCGAACGCTAGCATCGACCACCACGGACCCACACTGACCACCAGCACGTGGCACCGACCAACAACACTGACCACAACACAGGAACCGACCACCAGCACTGACCACAAACAAGCAACACCGACCACAAGCACAATCCTGAACTCCGTCTTCCTTGTCTTCTATTTGCGCCGGCTCCTGTACAACTTCGCCCGCATAGTCTATTTGTGCCGGTTGATGTCCCATTTCGACCACACGCTCTACGCTCTATTTGTTCTGGTTCGTGAACTATACCATCCAGAGCTTCTGCACCCACACTGTCTGAGGCTACGGCCTCTTGCGCCTTGCCCAAAGGGCACGGGCACCCCCGGTGCCCGGAACCGGCGCCTCCGCTCCGCTCCGCTCCGCTCCGCTCCGCTCCTCCTCCTCCTCCTCCTCCTCCTCCTCCTCCTCTTCCTCCGCCCGCCTGCTCCTCCTCCGCCTCCTCCGCCTCCGGCGATCCCAGAAGAAATTCGTGGACTGGCTGCGAAGCGAGTGCGTGCCGCCCGATGCGACCGCGGAGAACCTGTACGCACCGATGGAGGTGCCGGTGCGTGGCGGGAGGCTTTCCCACCCGGTCCCATCTCCGCAGATTCTCGGACGTTGGGGGGGGGGGCGAGCGGGTCCTCGCATGCGCGGCGTGCGGCTGCCTGGGGGCCGAGCACTGCCGGGGGCCTGCGCAGGAGTGCACGGCCCCGACCACGGCAGGCAGGCGGAGCTTGAGCCGCTTGGCGCGGGGGCTTGCGCTCGCGGGTGGCCGCGGCGGCGAACCAGGGCAGAGGCATGCGGCAGCCGCGGTGAGGGCGCGGCCGCGGGCGCGGGCGCGCGCGGCGCCTCGCTTCCTCCTCCTCCTCCTCCTCCTCCTCCTCCTTCCCCTCCCCTGTGGTCGACCGTTGGCTGAGCTCCTCCTCCTCTTCCTCCTCCTCCTTTTCCTCCTCCTCCTCCTCCTCCTCCTCCTCCTCCTCCTCCTCCTCCTCCCCCACCCCTGTTCCTA